AATACAAGGATGCTGTTTCCCTATTAAATATCTGTTTACTCTTCCTGCCTTTTACTAAAAGTGTGAGTAATCATACTGTGCAATTCTTTCATACTCTTTATGCTGATAAAGTCTTACTTTGCCAAACACTATGTTAACTGGTCTCATAAGAGGAAAAAAGCAAGGAACCTTTTTTAGGGCTAATTCATTAACAACCATGGAAAATAAAGGTTATCAAAGTTCTTTATGGAACACAAACCAAAAAGGACACGATCACTAACTAGAGAACACAATATGGAAGATGGAAGGCAACAAGAATGTTACATTTCAATATAGTTTTATATTTAGGCTTAACAGACCTAAGAACCTCAAGCGTGTCTTGTGCTTATGCAGACAGTTTTCTATCCCCTAATGTTTAAGTGTAATGAAAGTTTCCTAGATTATACTTTCTTATAATTCTAAATATTTACATTAGACAATAAATGAGTAGTTTCAAGCATATTTTTGATACACATAATTCTAATATTCATAGCAATGCTGAGGTAGAAATCATTATTATACTCATTTTATGTAGGGGGAAAACTCACGCTTTAGTGGGGCTAAGTTACTTACCTAAGGTTACAGGGCCAGTTAGTGACAGAACTGGGATGAAATCCTTCCAAGTAGGCCCTACCTATTTATTTTGCTTCTACTAGTCAATGTGCTTGCTGGCACTTCATCAACCACTTGACTTACATGCTCTCTTTCATGTATCTGTCTGTCACAGCTCTATTGATTCCTCTGTTGCTTCTTTCTCTAGCAGACTATGGTACCTTCAAGGACAGGACCGTGTCATTCATCACTGCATTTCCACTGTCTGCAGCATGGCAGATGCTTAGTCAATGTAGCCAAAGGAATACAGATACAAATTCATTCTGGAATACCTTGAATAGACAAAGATTCAGAACCTAAATATGAAGAATCTTTCCAGGGCAGGCAGAACTTAAGGCAAGGTCAGAAGAGGACAGAGAAGAGAATGGTAATCAAATATGAAGTCTAGCCACTGCTCCATGCTGTGGAAGCTATGGTCAGGCACACAGGGTGATGGCAAAGTTAGCTCTTAGGGCTGATCTTTAGGCTAGTGAAGGAGTCTCAAACTAAATCAGAGAAATGATAGCAGTGTCGGCCTCTAGACAAGATTGAAACAAGTGGTTCAAAACTTGGCTGTGCTAGTTAGAACATGTTTCCTTAGTGATTGTGTCATCTCTTGAAATGTTAATGTCTCCCATTGTAAAATGGTGATGACAACTTGTATGGAAAGAATGGCAGCAAATTAAGCCAAATAAGTCAGAGAAAGGAGGACATATACTGGCTGATGTCACTTATCTGTCAGATAGAGTGATAAAACTAGGCGTAGTATCAATCAATGAAAGTCCTTGGCCTTGGATTAAAAACTCAGATTACCTAGCTGTGAAGGGAGAGGAGGAATGAAGAAGGAGACTGAAAGTAAGAAAAGGCCATTGGTGGAGGATACTGTGCAATTCTGTGGTGGTGAGGGTGAGGATGCAGCAACTTTGTTGATCAATACCATAAATGTTAACACTCTAACCAGATAAACTGTAATAAATTTCTAAAAAATGGCAATGACAAAGTCTTCTGCATTCTTATTTATATTATCTATAAATGATTCAGTGAAATAATTTATAGAAAGCAATAAGCACACCATTGGTTATAAAGGCAATTTGAAACCAATGTGTCATATTATCAATAAAGAAATGAGAAATGTACATAAACAAAACTAGCTCTGTCAGAATCTAGTTTCTGTGGGTAAACCACAGAGCAGAAAGCACAGTAGTAATATAGTAAAGAGTACTTAGAGTCAGCCTAACACCTGTAAAAATTCATTTCCTGTTGATTTCAGAATAAGGCAGAATGACACATTGCAGATTGCTGAATGCCTACATTGATGTAGTGTAGAACTCTTTCTTAGTAACTACTGTTAAATGAAAAATAAGTGAATTCCATGGGGGAGATGAAAGCTAGAGGAAAGATCTGGGAAGGATGCAATATATTCGTTGGGAATGAAAAAGATTGCTCCTCTCGTGAATTCTTGCTGTTCATGTAGGAAACAAGATTTAGTAGAGCATAAACCAAGTAAAGGATGAGAGTCCTTGAAATCCAAACAGAACTGTTATGCCCAAGTGTTCTTGGTAGTCCTGGTATTTCTGACTCACAATCCCTGCTATTATGCCAAGAGAACTATGGACTGGGCTTTTAAAAGAAAAAACTAACCATAAAATCGTACAATTCTTATCAATTAGCTCTCAGGAAAATATGTTGGAGAAGATCCTCTTGGGATCTAGTCATAATTCCTGCTTTAAGCAATATTTGTTTATTATTCCTCATGCCAACTGTTAAAAAAATTACTAGAGAAAATGACAGGGGTTAGAGATGAAGTCTAGCAAGTTTAAAACACTTGCCTTGCATGCGGGTGACCTAGGTTCGATTCCTGGCATCCCATATGATCCTCTGAGGCTGCCAGTATGATTCCTGCGTACAGTCAAGAATAATCCCTAGGCTTTGAACCTTGACTGGTGTGTGCCAAGTCCTTTCCCCCAATTAAATAGATAAATTTAACAATCTAGGCTTAAAAAAAGTGATAGTGAGGCAAGAGAGCTAGTATATAGATTAAAACCCTTGCCTTAAGACAGAGCCAATTCCATTCTGAGCCCAAATGCTTCATGTAGTTCACTGAGCACTACCAGGACTGATTGATGCCTTGGCACTAAGTCAGGAATAAGCCTGAGCATTGCTGGGTGGGGCCACACATTCACCCTGCAAAGTATGACATACCACATTCTCTTTCTACTCTAATATATCAATAAAATTATTAAAATGTATTTATTTTCTCCTATAAGATTAATGCTTTTCTTCCTAATGTCAACTATTTATTTCAGGTTAAAATTTTAATTAAGAAAAAAATAATTCAACTTTTCCCTATATTAAGTATTTACATTCAACTTTGACAATCAAACTTCATATGCTGTATAATTACAAAGTAATTAGGTTACAAAGTACTGCAGTGTCTATCAACTATTTCTTAACATAATACTACATGATAACATAGTAAACAGCAGAACCTAAGTACAAATCCTTAGAATAAATAAAATCTTTGGAATTTCAGTATTCAAGTAATATTGCTGATAATTTATAAGAAACAAAACAAAAACAAGACTACTTGTGGAAGTCTCACATCCTGAAAACTAACCTAATTCTATTCAAACTGTTTCAGCTTGAGATAACTTTTAAATTATTTTTCTGTTTTCAAGGCTACCCCTGGCAGTGCTCAGGGTATCTTGAGGCCCTGTGTTCTGGAATCACTCCTAGCAGTGTCTGGGGGACCTTATAAGGAGCAGGAAATTGAACTAGGGATGGAACCCATCTCTGCCACAGGCAAAGTAGGCACCTTAACTATAGTGCTATCTGACCCACCAAAGTAGATCTCTTTAAATTGGGGAAAAAAAAAAGCCAATCACATCTGAAAAATGAAATCAGACTCAATTTTCCTTCAAACATCACTAGACAAAAAAGCATATAATTAAAGATAACAGCTTATAACATTTACCTTAAAAAACTAATAATTTGCATTATGAAAACTAAAAAAAGTCAGCAAACTAGACAAATTATCTTACTTCGATGATTCCAAGATAATTATTCTCCCAAATTTGAAGCACTTGTGACTTACTGCCTATGGAAGTGATAAACACATTTTTCTAAAAAAAAAAAATAAAAATTAGAGGACCATCTGACTCACTAAACTGCCTTTTCAATGCTGCCAGAATCTGAGACTGTGACCTCTACAGTTTAAACAAAAACCGACCTGGTCTGATTTGTTTACATCCTGAAAGCTTCTTTTCTGACTGGAGGAGTTAATTTGCCATAATCACTAGTGACAGTAATAGAAACTAACATGGAAAATCTTCTGTATGACTCTAAACAAGCATGAAATTGCCTTCGTCTTTTCTGCACATAGAAATTATCGCAACAAAAGGCACTTACCTTTTCTTGCTCTAGGTGCAAAACCAGTTCCTTTGACTTTTCAAGATGGCTGACATTTCCTAATAAAAGAAAAGACCTTTTTACTCAAAGAGAAGAAAATCCCTCAGAAATAAAAATTAAACATTTTACATAATCTACAATTTCAAAAAGTCAAATGATTAAATAACTTTATTAAATATTTGTCAGTTTTAAGAAGTGCCCTCAATTACTAATCAAATAATGTATTACTATTACAAACAACTAGTTATGAGGTTTTACATTTGTTTAACAGGGAATAATTGGCCCCAATTAAACTGGCTAAACTAAGGCTTTTTAGATTACTAAAACAAATTAAACTTTTTAAAATGAGAATTTAGGTGCTCCTTAAACCTTTCTAAAAATGGATAATGAAAACTTGCTAAGTTGTAATCTTTCTGGTTTTATTAGTTATATTAAGATAAATTAAGTGAGATTAAAATCTTATTTGATTTATTTACCTTTGAAAATGAAGACCGTTTAAGGGTTACACATCCTCAGCCTTGGCGAGTGCGACCTCAATTAGTCAAGTCAGAATGTCTTTAAAAGCTTTGTGCTTATTGCTTCCAGCATGGAGCGAGGTGTTCATTAAGGTACCAAAATTCTCATAAAAAATCCAAAGTTGCACTAGTGAAAAAATGCTCAACAAGATGAAAACTGATCACATCTTTTTCAGAAAATCAGTAGTTATTTTAAACCAGTTTTTTTAAACAAGATTTGGTTTGCGTAGTTTTAACGTGCCACAAAGCAGCCTGATACCAGTTGGATTCTTTAAACAGCATTTAAACCTACAGTGAGGATATATAATGGTACATTTAGTTTTATACCACTTTTAAAATAAGTTGTACAATGTTTAGTGTGACCCTTTTATGACAAGCGTTGTTAAATGATTCTTTCCCTGTTTACAGCTATTTATGAAGGCCTTTTTAATAAGAAAAGCATGAAATTGTTAGCTCACACACACAAAATTTCTTTCAAAAGTTTATTTAGTATCAAGCAAGAGAAGACTTTGCTTAACACTACAGAACATTTCAAGACTTGAGTTACAAAAGAATACCACATTATTTGCACTTGTCATTGGCTTCCCTTTTTACGCATGTTGGCAAGAGAAAAAAAAAATAGCATATGGCTGAAAGATAAAATAACTAAATTCTATGGAAACCTTTAAAATGAAAGGTGAGGCTTATGTTAAAAGGATGGATTAACATATTTAGTAAACCTATTTTTTAACACTAGTTAAATCAAAGTTATTTTTTTTCTTTTGATGACCTATTTTTTTTTCATATACAGACTGGAAATAACAGAATTTTACATGTCTTTTTTTTTCTGCCAAGCTTGATGTTTCAACGAAGTAGTTTTAAGTTCCATCCATTCAGATTTTAAGCATTTGATTTATTTAAAAAGGGATTTGTTCATAGAAAAAAATTACTTTGAACAGTATACGGGACTGGTGGAGACTGGCTATTTCACAACATCAGACAGTACAATCAGTATCTGCCATATGGCTGGTCTCTGTAGACGCCCTTCGTGGTCCTTGCTGAGGGTGCCTTATGTCTTGAATTAGTCCAGTCCTCTTGCCCTAAAGTAAGTAAGATAAATTGCAATTAGATCACTGCCATGGGTCATACTGGCTTCATTTTCAAAAACCGACTTAGCCCTAAATCAAAGGTAGATTTCATATTGAAGATAAGATATAGATCTCTGATGAACTGAAAATGCACACACACACACACAAACCCCACAAATTTAGTTATAAAAAATAGAAGCATGATAAAAAGTTATCTCATTAGTAAACCCTATCAATATGCAAAACATATGTTTGTATTTTGCAGGGTAAACAATTTTGAAGAATTTTCCTTTTGGTCATTCAGTTGAAAAAGCTCATAAAGTTCAAAATACAAATTGAATGTCTTTTTGCTGAACATCAAAAATTTATAAATGGAACAGAATATAGAAAAAGATTCAGTAAGCTCTTAGTTTTAGTTGCAAAAACAAAGAAAACATAAATAAAAATTATGAAGCCAAAAGCAGGAAAACTGAAAAGTAAAGTAGGAATATTAAGATAGCAAGAGAAATGTTTCATTAATTTTCACAGGTGCTTCATTGAAAGCAAAAGCTTTGGAAAAAGCTTTATAACTATAAACTATATGTATATATATGTAATATATATACTATAAACTACAATAGTGAACACAAAAAAAACTTAATGATGTGTCAAATTTCATTTACAACATTATATCCATACCCAAAGACAGTGTTAAAATCAAAAACATTTTCTGTCTCTATCTCCTGAAATTACACTTATTCAATTTCAGCACTTTCAATGAGAGATCGACATGTTTTTGACAGCAAAGAGTTAACACCTCTGCTGCAATATACAGCAATTTAAAAGCCATGTGTCCACAGAGACCAATTTAAAAAAAAATCTGTGAAGGAAATATGCTTAGAATGACCTCTTCTTTGGTACAAACATGCAATCAACGTCATTCCCTCAAGCCAACCCATTTCAATTTAAGTAGATGGCATTCAGCAAACCAAGGTATTTCTCTTAAGTGTTATGAATAATGACAACAACAACAAAAAAGTCCATCCTAAGGTCATCACATCTTGGGGTAGATGATGTAACAAAATGTACTTATTAAAAGATTCATTGAAAAGTGTCTTTTCAGTTATGTTCAGAAAAATGTCATAACATCCATTAGCCAGAATCTCATTTCATGTGCATTCATCAGAGCTTTGCAAATGATTGAAGCTTCAACTTCTCTGATCTTGCCTTGCGGCAAAGGAGCATCTTACCATCATTACTTTGTTTTTGCCAATTCCTGTAATTAAAACTGTCATCCTTCTGCATATTGAGACTTTTTTGCATATTGAGACATTGGACGTGGTTTCTTTAGTATCTCTAACAGTCGCACTAAATGATGTGTGGTTTTGCTATATCTCTGCAAGTCTGATAAAGCGTTCCATCTTTTCCAGGTCAATGCTTCTGCAACCTTTGTGAAGTGACTTCCATTGTAATGCTCTTAGAGTATTTGCAATTGGGGATGAATTATAATATAAGGATGGGGTGATATCTAAAACCACTTTAGAGCTGTAGTGTCAACTTCTTCATTTTCCTTTAATACCACGAAGCAAAGATACTTTTAAAAAAATCATGCTGTCAAGTATTTGGCAACTATTCTGCTGATGAGAAAATCAGAGTGTGGCAATCAACCCAAACTGAAAATCTATGTTTGGAATTTGATTTTCTGCAATTTTTCTCAAAGTCTTTAGTCTCCTTCAAATAGAAAAATTAAATATTAAATAAGTTTCTAAAAATACCTAGATATGCACAGGTAAACTAAGAAGGACCTGTTTCAGAGTAAAATATATTATAAATTCCACCTCAAGTGAGATCTCCGATAATCCTGTCCCCTGTCCAGTCACTTACCGTAGGAATCGTAACTCTCTTCATTGAGCCCGTGTCCATAATCATAGTAATCACCACCACTGAAATACACATAAGCAAATATGGAAAGAAAAAGTAAAATCATAGTTAGAACAAATGGCTTGAGGGTGAATTTAAATTATATTCAATGACATATCCTAAAATTAAAGAAAACTTAAAAAAGGGGAAAGCTAAATCTAAAAGAAATCCCTACTGAGGTGATAGCTGTAATACAAAAGGATTAAGATTCAGTATCATCAAAGACCACTGTCTTAGCTCTCTATGCTAATACATAATAAAGATGTCTGACAATTTCGAGCAGTTGCCCAAAAGCAGAAAGTAAGTGCCTTCTATATACATGAAAAACTGTATCTGACCTGGAGAGGAGTGTCTAGCAAAAGAGGGATGTGTAGTGGACAGTTACAGTAGTTCATGTATATGAAGAAATGGGTTGGGCTCATGTATGGTATGTACCAGTAGAGGAGGAGAGAAACCATAGCTTCCTTCCAATAATTACATATAGAAAGGAAGAACTAGTCGCAGAAAATTTGATCCTGTTTAGACTGTGGATGCATATCATATAGCACCCAAAATGATGTGTTTTAAAGTAATGGGTGCTAGTGAAGATAACCACCAGGAAGCAGCCAGCCACCTGGGATTCAATACCAATGACTACATCACGCAAAGGAGGTTGTGTGCTCTCTCTGGCCAGGATGCCTTTATAGGGTCTATAAAAAGGGAAAACAACATCTTGAGCTATGAACCTACAACTGGGAGTTTAACACCATGACCATTTTAAAGGTATGTGAAAGCCAGGCTACAAGTAGAAAATATATTTAAACTCGGGGAAAGCTCAGGCTAAACCATAAATAGCTATAGTTAGTCACTGTCACTGTCCTCCCATTGTTCATCGATTTGCTCAAGTGGGCCCAGTAACGTCTCCATTTTGAGACTTGTTGTTACTGTGTTTGGCATATCGAATACGTCACAGGTAGCTTGCCAGGCTTTGCCATGCAGGTGAGATACTCTTGGTAGCTTGCCGGGCTCTCCGAGAGGAGTGGAGGAATTGAACCAGGCTCAGCCAGGCTGGCTGCGCACAAGGCAAAAACACCCTACCTGCTGTGCTATCGCTCCAGCCCACTATATTTAGTACTGGATACTATTCGGAGTATGTGAAAAAGGGTAATCCTTCAGACTACCACGCTTTCTCCTTTCCCACTCTACTTATGTTTGTAGGAAAATTATGATCCTGAATTTAATATTTTGGACTGTCATGAAAAATAAACATTCCCATAATTCCAGCTTCAGGATGATGATACAGTTCAGATGATACAAATTCTTACACTTTAAGAATCTATTTATAGGAATAATAATAAAAATATATGTTGTGTCACTCTACAGCAGCTTCTGAGACCCACACTAGAGTCAACATAACCGCCCCTGAGGTAATATCCATACAATTGCAAGTGCAGAGCATAAGAGATACACACAAATATAATCCCATAGAAAAAAAAAGACGTCAAGTCCATTGGATTGCAAGGCCACACTTGGAGGTTAGCAATTCCAATGAGAGAGAGGTTAAGGTCTGTTTTTGTCTTAAACTTGACTGGATAGATCTTTTGTGAGAAATGTTCTTTCCCCTCCTTCAGGCAAATAAAATATGGATATTCTTAAGAATTTTAACTCTGTTGCACAGATAAAATGAGAGCAACCTCTTAATAAATGGAAAAGGATATCCTTTACTTAGACAGATCCCCACTGTTTAACCTGGCACTCACTACAAATGACAGGGACTGAGACTAATAAACATAAGAATTAAACAGCAGCTTCCAAAGCTTCCTTTGAGTAATTAATAAACAACTCTTTTCTAGTCAAATTAAGAGTCCTTTTTATTTCCTCAGAGTAAATGAAAAATGTGACTCCAAAATGTTTAACACTATTTGGCATATATATATATATATATATATATGTATGTATATATCACTGTCACTGTCCTCCCATTGTTCATTGAATTGCTGGAGCAGGAGCAGTAACATCATGAGACTTGTTGTTACTGTGTTTGGCATATTGAATACATCATGGGTAGCTTGCCAGGCTTTGACGTGCGGGTGAGATACTCTCAGTATCTTGCCGGGCTATACGAGAGGGGTGGAGGAATCGAACCCAGCTCAGCAGGTCTGGCTGCACGCAAGGCAAATGCCCTACCCGTTGTGCTATTGCTCCAGCCCATGTATACATAATGCACATGCTGGATATGGAGCCCTCCAGAAGTAATTCCTGAGAGCAAAGCCAGAAGTAAGCCCTAAGCACAGCTGGCTGTAGCCAAAACACAAGCCCTGTGCTGCCCCCAAAATACAAACAAATAAACAACAACAAAAAACCCAGTGTTTTCCAATAAACGAGATGGATAAAGAGTAGTATAATTTGGTCTGCAATGGCTTGGTGATAAGACTATCTTAGTTTTGACAAGTGAAAACCTTAAACTGACATTTTCTATCATTTCCCCCAGTTTCTGATTAGTTATTGCAAGACTGTCATCAAGCCAAGAAGCTGGAAGCAGCTGAGCCCCATTCTCATACCTGTCAGTTCCGTCTGAATTGCTTTCACAGCATTTCATTTTGTGCACCTAAAATGTCTATTAACCAAAGATGTGTGCTATTTTCCAAGGGTAAAGTAAAAAACCAACAAATGGCAAAGGGTCAAAAAAGAAAAACTAAAAGATTTTTCATTTATGGATATGACTAAAGGAATTAATAAAAGGAAAGAAAATACATTTGGCCACATATGCTTCAACTCCATCAAAAAAGTTATAGCAGCAAAGGCCTTCCTCCCTCAATAGATTCAGAGTGGGCTTTACACCACGGTTCTTAGACCTTCTGTCCTTCCATGTTCACCCCCACTGAGGAGACCAAGGATATCAAAATGCTGATCATTAACTCATTTTCTGCAAGGTGCCTGATTCTACAAATGTGAGCCAAGAAATAAGAAGGAGCATATCTGGCAGTGGGAACGAAGGTCGTGTGACCCTGAGAAATCTACTCTCTATCAATGGGCTCAAAAGGACAAAAAAAATCCAAGCCCCCAGATCTCTCCATGTCTAGATTAAGAAGAAATCCCTGACATTTATCCTCTCTTCTTCAGCCTTTCCACCAAATTCTATCTACGTTCACTGGAATCACTCTGATTTTGTATTTGCTTATGTTTTTGTCTGTTCAGGGAGCATTCCTCATTCCCATTAAGAAGTTCTCTCCCCAAACCCCCTTCCCCCAGTCCCAAGCCAACATCCCCTATTGCAACTCTCCTTATTTCCTTCCCATCTAGTTCTCGGTGATTTCGGTATAAAAGAAGTATAAAGGAAAATTACTTTTACAAGTTGATCTATGAATTTCCAGACAACAGAGAACTAGAGTTCAGTTAGACATAGCTTTTTTTGGGGGGGTGGTCACACTCAGTAGCATTTCTCAGGGGACAAATATGAACTTCTGGGGACCAAACCCAGGTTGGCTGTTTAAAAGGAAGCATTCTCCCTGCTGTCCTGCCTCTCTGGCCCTTAGACATCTGACACAAACTTCTGCATTCTAACTATAACTATTGATTAACTTCAACAATAATTTCTCAGAAACACCAACTTTGGAACTGGGATTTCTTCAAAATACAATGAAACAGTCTCTTTATCACACTTTTCCATATGGTTTAAAAAATATGCTATCTGTGTCATCAATAGACAACCTTCCATAGTTAGGTGAGAATAGTTTGGAGGCTAAAACTATACATTAGAATGAAATACAGCCCATCTTTTAATATAGATGTAGGGCTGAGAAAGTCTTAAGTATGATAAAGGTCACGGAGGAGCCCCAGTCTGAGAGGAGTTGAGGAAAGTTGCTGATGAGTAATTTCACAATATAATATGCATACACACACACACACACACACACACACACAAAGAAATAAATATAAGATCGTTAGCCAGAGAATTAAATGAAGGCCGGGCTCCTATTTTTATTCTTCTCTGTGAATATATAAATCTGAATACATTTTATGCCAAGTCATGTATCCTTGTACTGAATTTCTTGGCTCTCAGTAACATTCAAAACAATCTAGCCACATTTTATGAGAAGCTTACAGTATTTCACTGGATCATTTATTAATCTTGCATTTGTTTTTGGTAGCCAATACTTCCATCTGCTATACTCGGTCTCTTTTGGGGGATATTTTTGATACACATTTTGTTGTAGATAGATCAAAGTCATTATCTATTGCTTCATAAAAACGCTTATTTGTGAATGCAGATTTTATCTGAAATATTTATGTTTGAGAAATAATTGAGTTTGGAAGAAAAACTATGTAAATTTTTATTTGTTTGGGGGACATACTCAGCGTGCTCAGGGCTTACTTACTACTGGCTCTGCAGCATCCTGGAAGGGCTTGAGAAACCTTATGGGGGGAGGGAAGACTGAACTCAGGTAGGTTGCAAGCAAGGCAGGCACCCTATTGCTGTATTATCTCTCCAGTCCCTTATGTAAATTTCTGTGGGGTTATCAGTATCCTTGTGAAATAAAATTAGACAATAAATGAATTTTCAGTGTTTCTGGAGAATATTAGCTTCATAAATTTGCATATCAAATTATTCAGTCTCAGACTTCAAATATGTAGAACTAAACTAAGCTATACTACACACTGAAGTTGTATTTTAATTCAAAAAAGTAAAAAAAAAAAATCAGAAATAAAGACAATTACATAGCTTACCAATCACCAAGTTCTATCTATATATTTATTTAATAAATATCTATTGCTCGAGCGGGCCCAGTAACGTCTCCATTGGAGACTTTGTTGTTACTGTGTCTGGCATATCGAATACTCTCGGTAGCTTGCCAGGCTCTCCGAGAGGGGCAGAGGAATCGAACTCGGGTCGGCCGCGTGTAAGGCGAACGCCCTACCCGCTGTGCTATCGCTCCAGCACCAGGCTGGAGCGATAGCAGAGCGGTAGGGTGTTCGCCTTACACGCGGCCAACATGGCCGACCCGAGTTCGATTCCTCCACCCCTCTCGGAGAGCCCGGCAAG